ATAACTATAATACACCAATATACATGTGTATACAAACGTCAACACATACATACGCACGCCATGACACATAATGTTATTAAAAATATTACCGTTGACGTCAGAAGCTTTTGCTTGAGTGGCTGTTTAGCAGCAAGTGGCATATCGTACATGACTCGATCTCCATTTACCCTGGGAACAGAATATATGCCTTCTTGAATTCTCTCGTTGACTGGTAAAACAGATCGTTTTGAATCCCCTACCATACATGTATGTCACAATTTTAACCCTTTTTTAGCCTTTCGTATTTTCATGTCTAGACAAACCAACTGTAAACACGTATGCATGATTTGCAATATGAATTTTTATGTCATGTTTTGTGTACCCATACACCTACCTGAACAATTGTACAGCTCTGACTTGGTCTTCCTCGGGGGAGGTTTGATCCTCTTGTTGGCTCTCAGAGCTCCCGCAAATCTGTAGCTTCTTTAAAAACGATTCGCTCAGCGATTTCTCATCCTTGTCTTGAGACAGAAAGAAAAAAAAAGGAAAAAATACAAGAAGAAAACATCAGGACGAGACACTTTAGTGGGTCGTAGAACATGACAAATTCGGTTTTAATCAACACTTGTTCCCTCTATTTTGGTCAACTGTGTAACAGTTTAACACAATGACACTATGGTCTGATAAAACAACAATACTACAATACTGATAACTTTAAAAGACATAAATCTTTGGTTCGCTGATTTTTATACTATTGTCTCTGCGGAAACATTTGCAATCTGCTTTCGGAAGTAAAACTGCATAGAAAAGGAAGGGACCTATTATTATAGCTTGTGGCCAAATACCTTATCAAGACATCAGTGGTATTCATAAGCTTTGTCTTTTTATCGATTTATCTGAGTTTTTAACACCGAAAACCGGTGGACGATTTTCTGACACTTTTATGGCAAGCATTTAAACATCATAACAAAGGGCTATAGTACAGTGCATAGACAGGAAGATGAACGATTGGTTTCAAACCGTTAATCGATTTTTGTGTAATAAAATAATAGAGGAACTAAAGGAGTTGTTTAAATTCATTTCTCGTACGTCCCACTTACCGAATCCACATTAAGTGCTCTTATAACAGAATACTGTTCTCTTCTTTTCTACTGACTGCGTCAGTTTGCATGGAACCTAAGACCCAAGTCAGACTGACAATTTTGTTTATTTTTTAAAGATCGTAAATGCTATCCCTTGCCATCTTTGGGTATAACCTACTCTGTAAAACGCTGTTTTCGATAGTCTACAAATGTGCATGTAGAGTTTAGAGCGACATGCAACTTCAATATCGAGGGCAACTTATCTGCAAGTGTCCGGAATAGTCTAAAGGTGAATAAGAAGACAAAAGCAACAACCCACCAACAAGCAAACAAACACACAAAAAACAAACAACAACAACAACCAAACAACAAACAAACAATTCATTATTCACTGATTCACCAAATCTTTTGAGAGTCTTGTTGGTATTTGTTACATCGGTATTGCTGCTGTAAAGTACGCTTCTTTATCAAGATTGAAATAGCTTTTCTTTCACTTCGCTCTAGAAGAATTGTAGTCACATAAACGAAATGGAAATCACGTTCAGAGATAAAGAAGGCCCAACGGGATGAAATCTGATGCTTTAGCTATTGATCGCTGAGAAGGTCAAACACATTCCACTCACCAATAACGACAATGTGACCCTTGCCATCTCTCTGCCATGTGCGAATCTTTTTGGCGAGATTAATGGCCTGAAAAGAAATAACAAATTAATACGTGTATACACACAAGTACCCAATGCAATATGTATAGAGAGAAAAAGAACGAGATAGAAATATAAAGAGCGTGCGCGAGAGAGATAGAGACAAAGAGACAGAGAGACAGAGAGGCAGAGAGACAGAGAGAGAGAGAGAGAGAGAGAGAGAAAGAATGAGACAGACAGACAGACAGACAGACGAGAAAGGGCTACGGAGGTAAAATAATTAATAACAGGGAAAACAAAATGTTATATACCTTGGATTGAACCCAATATTCAGGATTGGCAAAGTAAATGAGCTACTTTATCGAACATACCTCTGCCAACTTCTGCAGGTCAAGTCAACTAAGACATAATTAACCGAGGGGATATATTATAATAGCTTACACTGTAGTATTAAAGGGAATATTTCCTTGAATAGCACCATTGAATCTCTTCCATACACTATGATTAGCTTGGAAATACAATGTCTAAACCGATATGCCCCCTGCTGTCGACACGATAATCTATCATTTGACTGAACAAACATAGTGATTAACCCAAGAGTGTTGTTTCTCGCGAATTGGAAATCGGCTCCTTGCGTTTCAAAAGGAGCTGTTATAGGTTCAGGAAACGACCAACGGGCAGGCAACAGCATTTGAGTATGGTATGATAATGGTATGGTATGAAAATGGAGCCCCATTTACCAAGCTTGTTGTGAACAAAAACTGTTACTGTTTTCCTTTTGTTATTTCCACAACAGAGATATTGTACTAGATTTGGTCTTCCATGCTCATGCTTATTATACATAATGTGTTTTTATTGATCTGATGCTAACCTCAGTGGAAATCTTTGCGATTATTTTCATTTTATCAATATTCACAATAACTACCCATAGGACAGTAGACTTCCCTTCTTCAAATACTTCTGCCCC